CATATCTATCTTTAATAAGTGAGAAATATCTGAATGCATTTAAACTAAAAACTCAGCTTCATTTGTATAATACTTTAAATGCAATGAAGGGGATTCAAAGGTTTGCATTGGAGAAAGGAGGAAGCAACATATCAGACTTGTTGACATTCGTTGGATAAATACATAAAGTCTTTCTTCAGCATAATTTTGTTAGTCCAAGTACCAGTATAAAAAACTAATTTGGATCCAAGAGACGTAGATTCTATTGGGAATTAATCAAAATCCTGGTTCCCCAGAAAACAAATTGGTTTGTTGTTTTTGCCATTATGCATTGGAGCCTATAATTATATCCCAGCTGTTGCGGTGTAGAAACAGATTTGTAATTATTTGTGCAAGAAAGACGATGTTGTGCTCTTATTTTTCCATCCTTAACCGTGCAACAAAGATGCTGTTTCCTAGTTGCTGTACTGCTCCTTGTTCCTTAGTATTTTTCTTAGAAACCTCCTTTGCTCTTGTCACTTCTTTTGCTCAGCTTGATAATGATGTGTAGTGACTGTCGAGGTGTAGTGACAGGCTACGTCTCGAGGAGACGGGGCAGTGAAGTGAGAACTGGACCAGAGAGGAAGCAGTTGTGGCAGGCAGACTGTTTTGACCTTTACCATGTGAAAGGTGATTCCCCTTCTCGGCTTCAGTGACATGTACTGTAAGTGTGTGGCAGGCGAGGCTGGAGCTGTTTTTTATGCATTTGTCTCATCCGGAGGGATTTACCGTTGTTAAGCAAAGAGTGCGGGGGTCGCCGCAGAGGTGCCCTGGCAATTTTCCTGTGAGAGAAGTCTCAGAAAATTAATAAAAACAGCAGCTAAAGACCACGGTTGACTATAATTTCCGTTCCTCTTCTCATTTTTTGTACAAATAGAAGTATTTTGTAGCAAATAGTGCTCCTGTAGGCAGCTGTTTCCTGCAATAAGATGATTTTTCGGCCGAGTACAGAAGTAGTAATGCAGAAATCCCACTGGTACTTGCATCCATTTACTGAGCAAAAATGAAATACATCGTGGCTATTTACCGTTAGCTTATCTCGAGGGAAGTTTTTATATCATCCATGTAATGATCCACCGAGCAGTTGATTAAGAGACCGCAGTAAATTGAGAGGTTGAGTTTTGATTCATCATACTCTTGGTCCGAGGAGTTTTAGGACCCTCCAAAAGCTATAACCTACAGCTATGATGTCCGACGAAGAAGGCCCCGGCGGTGTCGTAAACATTTACTGTCTCGTCAGCTCTGATTGATTGCACTCTGGGAGGGAAACGCTCACAGAGGAGGAACAAATCAATGACGTCCGTCTGATGTGTGCCAACTGCTAAGACTGACTTCATACAAACTGGAGTCCTTTTAGATTCCCCCCTGAACAGCATGTTACAGTTGAGGGGACACTTTAAACTGGAGTGACGTGGGCTCACATTTTGAAAAAATGTGTCAACAGACAGAAATAAATCACCATCTCCTTTGGGAATAGATAGAAGTTTTAGCCACTTGTGCTGGTCCCAGCCTCTCTAATGTATGTCTAATGAATGCGTTAAAGGTGGTATTATGCTTTTTGGCTTTTCCCCTCTCTTTTAATGAGTTATCTTTTTTGTGCATGTAATAGAATTTGCAAAGTGAAAAAGCCCAAAGTACAACGCAAAGGGAGTCCCCATCTCCTGCCTGAAAACAGCTCGTTTGTAGTCCAGCCTTTACTTCCCCTTTCTTGTGATGTAACAAGAAAATACGTGTCATAATGTTCGCTGAGCGACTAGCCACTGTCTATTAGTGCACTCCCTGGAGAAATGTTGTCAAATTAGTTGGAAAAAGCAATCTCAGTAAGAAGCAGACAGTTTTGCAGTTGCATTATAGATTTGAAGGTTGTATTCAGGCTGTCGAACTGACTGAAACGGACGTGAAAAAAATGAAAGATAGAAGTTAAAGCCTACCGATCACACAGTACAAGTGAACCACCGCATCCCCCGACGATTGAGACAAAAGACAACGATATGAACGATCAACACTGTTCCTGTAAAGCTGGGTAGGCCTCTATTCATTAATACAATGATTAAAAAGCAGAACAGTTGGGCTTTATTACGTTCCATTGAGTAGGAGTAGCGAAATGCGTATTCATAAATTTGTAATCTTGTTTACTTATTCTTTAATTCGATTTTTGGTATAGATCAAAATCAGTGCTGAACAATTAATCGTTTATAAATCGAAATTGCGATTTGAAAGAACACGATTAGCTAGTCATAAAGACGGCGATTAAAATATAGGTTAATTATACAGCACATCTGACCTGTTTTAAACAGTCATGCAGTTACAAATTAATTCTTTTGTCATGCTTGCCAGTCACAAGCGCCATGCGCCTCCAATTACGGTCCTACTCACCAATCAGAACGGACACAGGGTGTGTACATTTTACAACAACAAACGAAACTAGTGGAAAAAGGGGGGATAATGGTGTCAGCGAACCGACACAGGCAGCAGTTGTGCCGCGGGTTTGTCCGGCGTCAACTCTCAATGAAGTGTTTCAGCAGCGTTTAGCCTACATGTTGTTAATGTGTTAACTGTCTGATTTTGCTTACTTGTTCAGAGTTTGCTTATTTCTTCAGTTGTGCTTCTACTATGGTTAAGTAGGCTACATAGTTGAATTGTTAGTTATTTTTGTCTGTTTTAACTGTGTTTATTGTTGATGTACGATTGGGAGTCTGCAAAGGGTCTTTTATTTTGAAAATCAACCGTATTCTCTATGCCGTTCTGTGTCTGACTTTAGGTTTTTCCGCCAAATTGTTCGTCCCTAATCGAAATTCTGCCTGTTTTACTCAATTTTTATGTAATTCTTTAAAATTCATTCATTCATTCACTTTGGAATCGGTACCAAAACTAGGGTATCGTATCTACAATTATATCGTAACATTTCAATCGATTGGTCGATTAACCGAAAATTAATCTGCAACTGTTTTGATAACGGAGTATTCATTTAAGTAATTTTTCAAGCAAAAATGCCAAACTTCTCTTGTTCCAGCTTCTCAACTGACATGATTTGCTGCTTTTCTTTATTGTATGTGAAGTTCCTGTTCCTTTCTCTTTAAAACAATGGAGGATGAGATTTTGATTTCTAAAATGCAACAGTGCAAAAAGATGCAACTTCCAGTTCATCTCTGCCTCCACCACCACTACAGTATATATGTCTCCCAGTCTGACTGTCCCCTCCTCTCTCACCCCTTCTTCCCTAATAGCCTACCTCAGGTGCTTCACCCCAGGCCCAAATCGACCCCTGGCACATGGCCTCTTCTGCCTCCTCTCCACCTTGATTCACTCTACTTAGATCCAGTAGGTGTAAGCAGAAGCTGCACTTAGCTGCCCTTTTGGTTATCAGAGGCAGACATTGATTTGTTTTTACTGGCGGGTTGAGCCTCTCCTGGACACTTGGATCTTGTTCAGGAATCATTGGGACTGAGGAGAAAGGCTCTCTGTTTGTCGCAGAGTGATAGTGGTTGCGTCAGCAGTCGCGCCTCTTGTCCATTTCAGTGTTGGGATGTGAGCGCTGAAAGAAAGATGAAAGGCAGTAAGTGGGGTGGATTTGGAGGGAGGTCCAGGTGCGATGAGAGGGAGTTGAGGGTGGAGAGGTGTGTTTGGATCGCGAGCGCAATTTTCCTGTCCTCTCTGTCTGCCTTTAATCTTTATAGTTGTCATTAAAGCTTTCGTTTTGCAGTGAAATGTCATACTCTGTTATCACACTTTATGACAAACATGATAAAAAAATCTTTGTCACAAGGATGGCTTTCTCCTCTCCCCTCCTGGAAAACAGCCAGTTAATCTCTTTCTCAACACATTGTGTCAGCCTCTGTCATCCCCAGATCTCTGTTCTCTCTGTTGATGTGTCTCTCAGTTTTCACGTCTCCTGCTCCCTCCCTCCCTCTCCTTGCTTCATTGTCTGACGGTTTGCTTGTTTCCTCCTCTCTGTATCTTTTTTAATTTGTCATTATCTCCCCTCCCCTGTCTCAGTCCCTCTTTTCTCTCTCTCTCTTCCTTTGTCAGCCTGTCTGTCTTTTTCCTGTTTATCCTTCTTTGACATTTTCCATCTCTGTATTTTTCCTTTTGTGTTTTATCTCTTTCTCTTCGATTGCCTCCAGCCAGCCCCGGCAGGTCTACTGTAGTGGTTTACTTTCTGTCTCTAAAGCCCTGGATATGAATTATTGATCAGACTGACCCCTGGCTGCACAGCTGATGTTTGGGTGTGGCGTGTTTTCTCTGATTCCATTTCAGTTCTTTAAGTGCTTCTGGTTGTGTATGTCTCTCCGTGTTTTCGAACAATATAAGCGTTTCTGTTGTGGGTTAAGTAATACAAATTGCACTTACTTTTGTTTCATCAATATTTCTCAAAATGATCATCAATATTTCTCAAATAGAAATTTGACGGCCAGTATAATTTTGTGCGGGTGTGCTGATGTAAGAGTTGGCTTCAGTTGGAAAAAAGACACTTTTACAAAAATAACAAACTATTTTCAGCATGAAATGAATCTTTTATTTTATATTTTGTCATCAGATAAAACACAAATCTTCACTTAAAAGCCTCTGCAAGTGTCAGTTTTTATTTTTTGCTTCATTTGATGGTCCACTGGTGAGTCAGAAAGTGAAGATGAAGCAGAAAGGGGGTGACGCACGCAGTAAATCCTCCCTTCATGAAGGTTATAATGATCAGTTTTTGTTGAAACAATTTTAGAGAGGTGTCGATTCTGCTGTAAGGTCACTTTTTAGACTGTAGTTGGTGGTGCTGTTGAATTGCATTGGGTTATAATGAGAGGCATTTCTCATATTATTAATGAGTGTATATATATACTCACTAATATATACTTCATGGCCAACAGCTTGTTAGCTGTCCACACTCTGGCCAAACCTGGTAATTCAGCTCTGTAGGGGAAGAAATTCACCACTGATCACTTGTTGCATGTTGCCTAAACATCGGGAAAGGCACCATGATGTATCCTAATTCAAGTCTCTTCTTGTGTTTGTCTACAGGCTCTTCAACTTGACTCTGAAGAAGCTGGTCATGCTGAAGGAGCTGGATAAAGACCTCACCTCTGTGGTCATCGCCGTCAAACTGCAGGTATGAGGTATCTCGCCAAAAAATGGTAAAATGGTAATAGTAGCCTAATAAATGTAAAAATCAGCGCAGCAACAATGTTAAAATATTAAAAGTTTTGTTTTCACTGTATGAACACAGTACCAACACCTGACGTTTTTTGTTTACTGAATTAATGTTTCCTTCGTCAGCAGTTTTTCAGCCTCAGCAATTATTTATTTTGCTTTAATCAGCAAAAAAGTATTTAAGGACTTAAAGAGTTGAATTCCTTTCATTAAGTGTGCCAAATCAGCAGATGTTGAAATGCTGCTAAATGAGTTTTTTCAATACTCTGTGTCTGCTGAGTCGTTTGTTGTTTTGTTGAGTCAGGTTATTGGATCTGGACACCCTTCTTTCTCTTTGTTTAAAGCCAAAATACTTTTTGCAACTCCTCCATAGTTGTGTAATTTTTTCTCATACTTGATTCTTGTAAAGTTTCGTAGTATTAAAAGTCCAGTATTCATTTTCTTCTGTACCTTTTTGACACTGTTCTGACAGCAGAAGCAGCCATGTTGGTAAAAGTTAACATGGGTAATTTCAGAAAATACAACATATGTTGTCTGAGTTGGTCTGCTGATTCCACAAAATACAGTTAAGATGGAAATTTAAGAGTTTATCTGTTGTTTCTACCTCTAAATGTAGTGTATTCCTTTATTCCTTCACCTCTCCTCATCTGTTCCTCTTCGTGTGCTCTGTGTTGTCGCGATCTTGTCCATAATTGAAGACATTCTTTGTTGACTCAATACAATTTAAGGTGTTTAAATCCCTCTATAATGTTGTGGCTCCACTCCCAGATTCTGCTCCTTGGCTTGTTTTCACTCTTCACCATCTCAATCTTGTTTTCTATCTAAGTAAACTTATAAATTATCTGCTGTTTCTGGCACATAATACACTTTAAGCTGCTTTAATTCTTCTTCCATGCTGCTGCTGCCTCTTGCTCATTCATTGCTGTCTTCTCTCAGTCAGATTCCTCTTCATCGCCTCCCTCTGTCTCGACCTCCTTTGCTCCTACGCTTGCTGCATGTGGTTGATGAGAGTTCATTGTTCTGACTCTGCTGGAGTTAGCTGGGGCATACTAACAGTAATCTTTCCATCTCTGCCCTTTTCTTTCCCGGCTCTCACGCAATCTCTATTTTGTCTTTTCTGTCTGTCTCTCCTGCCTCTACCTGCTCAGGGCTCCAAGCGGATCCTGCGCTCCAATGAGATCCTGCTGTCTTCAGCGGGGCCGACAGAGACCGACCTACAGCTCACCTTCTCCCTGCAGGTAAAGACAAAGGTTCAGTGGGGTCAGGTGCTTGTCAGTCAAAAGCACGCAGAAATTGACAAACATAAAGCATTCTCAAATTCTCAACGCTAAAAGTGGAAACATGACTGCAGATACATTATGCAAAGTTGATATCAAGCTGAACTATCTTGAATTTTGGGGGAAATAAATAGTTCCCTTTGCCTGGGAATGGAGTGATTATTCTTTTTATTTCAATCATATGCAATCGATTGCATGGCAATTTTATCATCACTGTTTTGTTTTTATCAACACCGTAATTCCTTCACTATGCGCCGTACACAAGCTGTAGCATGACATACCTTGAAGCGTTCATGTGGCTACATGTCACAGACTTGGCCTTTAGCAGATATAATAGCCACAATGTTCATCATCTTCTTAACATATTAGCAAGTGAACATTAGCTTATTAGCACTAAACACATTTCTGGGAATGTCAGTAGTTTTGCTATTGGACATTTGACACAATCTGTACAAAGTTTTGGGCCAATCCGTCAAGTAGATATTGAGATATTTTACCAGACATAACCACTCCTAGATCATTGCTGCAATGTTTTGCATGAGCGTGGGGGTGAACCATTTGTTGGCCTCCTGAATCCCTTAAACTATTTTGGGGGAGTTCCTTAAATGGTCACAACTGTTTACAGTATTGACATTGTATTTACAGAACAAAGAAGATGTAATTGTCACATGCAACTACAAATTAACTTTGGACCACAATAATTAAGCAAAAATGCCATGAGACCCTGGAGGAACTATTCTTATGCAATTTTCTGGCTCTGGTTTGTGTGTAAAGCACCCTTATCTGTCATGAATAGTGTTGATCCCAATCAGAATCTATTTGCCTTTACTTAAAAAGTCTTTGTTGCACAGGTACAGAGATGCTATAAGTAATAACTCATCAACACTCATACAGCATTTTACACTCACTACCTTAGTGCATCCAGACAGAACATGGTTAATGTAATCCCCAGTGGGGTTTCTTCTGCTCTAAATTATCCTTTCCAATCTCCATGTTTCTAAATGCTGCTAAAAGGTCAGGGAGTTTCTCTCTCTGGATCTTACCAAGTGCAGCGAGCCAGACATTATACATTATACATTCAGCTTTCTACAGCAGCAGCACTGCAGAGGCCTATTAAAACCGAGCAACAGAGTGATTTCATGGCTTTGAACGTTGTTACAGGAGCCGGTTTTGTTCCATTTATAGTGCAGCCGGTGACATTCTTAATGATGGGTTATGTCATAGTTGGGATGCGGCTAAGTGGTTCGACACTTCAGGACGCCGGAGACAGGTCAGCGGGTGTGAATGCCTTATGCAACGAGCCAGCTAGATCAGCCTTATTATCATGACCTGGGAAACAAATGGCAGTCTGCATCTAAACCCGTCTAGCCAGCCTGCCAGCTGTTTGTGTTTGTGTATGTGTGCACATGTTGCTTATGTGCGTATATATGTGGATTTGTACCTGCAGTACCCACACTTCCTGAAGAGGGACGCCAACAAGCTTCAGATAATGCTACAGCGACGGAAGCGATACAAGAACCGGACCATCCTGGGCTACAAGACCCTGGCCTTGGGACTCATCAACATGGCTGAGGTACCTCAACTTGATTCAACTTGAGCAATACAACAATAAAATGATACATGGAGGTTTATGAGAAAATCCATTTCTTGAAACTTTCAGAAGTGTTTCTCAATCACTTCTGCGTTAGTATCCCACTTTTCCCAGAATGCCTTTAAAGCTACACTTTTATCACAAGTCCGTTTTTTTCAGTCGAGAAAAAGGGACTTTTGTACTAAAAGGCAGTACACTGTACGTTTTTATAAGGCCTAATTATTTTCAAAAAAGTTTAATTGTTTATTTTAATAATTAAAAACAGGTGTACAATAAATACATTTTTAAAAATAATAATAATTTAATTAAGCCTTAATTGTCTTGACTGTCAGAAAATAGTGAACATTTCCCACCAAAATGTCCAAAATCCTATAACCATTGCGTAGCAACACAAACAAAAAATCATTTGCACACATTATTTACAGAGGTGTTTACTTGATTGAAACAGTAAAGTGTGTCACAAGTATTTTCGGAATTAATGATTTGTGACTGCACTCGTTAATGGCTGCAGGATGGGTGGAGGAAAGGCAACATACGTGCACACGCATTCAGCACAGAGCACCTCCAACAGCAGCAGATGGAGGTTGAGCTGCATGTCCGAGGGCACGTCAACTGTGAGTTGTTGAGTCAGCGGCGTCTCATCCTCCTCAGCAAGACTAATGTCCCAGCTGATCTGAGCTTGTTGACCCAACAAACCGCCGGTCACAGGCTCATTTCCCTAAACATGCAGCCCTCTGCCTCCTGCTCCAGTCCAATCTCAGGTTAACTTCGTTTCACTGTCGTCACAGAGTGATTTCTAACCTATCAGCCAGAATAAAAGGGGATGGTCTTCTCTCATACCCTACGTATTCTTCCTTTTGTCATTCTTATATTCACAGCGACGAAACTTATTTATTGCTAACCTTCATTTAACCTTCATCTAAACACAATTCAAGCGAGTGCACTTTAAAATCAAACCTCAGATTTTGATCTTTGCCCCAGCAATTCTATTCTCAGACACCATAAATGTTGCCGTAAATCAAACTTCCAATTAAATTTGAGCCTCTCCTGCCAAAAGCTCCTCACATTCTGTGTTCTCACAATATGAAGCCTTTATAAAAGGGTTGTGATTTATGGCGTGTGTCTGCACTGCACGTGTGGATGTTCCCTGCGCTTCACGGATGACTGGTGGCTTTCATACGCTGTGAAGTCAGAGTGATTTACAGCATAAAACACCTTGAACTAACTGGCTCACCACAAAGTACTTCATGGAAAGAAAAGGACATGAATACAGACTTAATCAAGATGTAAGTTTGGTCTCCAGGATGTTTGCACTCTCAAAAGTTAGTGGAGTCTTTTATCAAGAGCAAATGAAACCACTTGCAGCAGTAGAATAAGATCAAATTATTCTTGTGACCTCTAAGCCGAACTGCCAGTCCTTTTTTAAATGTATTATAGTGTGCTGCTTACGTCTTCGGCGATGTCTGCTGGCTGTTGAAGGCTGCCCAAATAAAGTCAAATTTTATTCATGAAGCTCTTTCAGCAGACAGGTTGAGCTACAAAGTGCTTTACAGAGGGCAAAGGACACAAACACAGACTCATACGCATGATAGGTTCAAACTCACTTCCTTCGCAGGCACAGTAAAAGTCTGCCGAGAGCTGTGTGTGTCTGTGAATGTCAGAAAAATAATATGCTATAGGGGATACACTCAGGTTTTCTCAAAAAAAAGTCCCAAAGTCTCAAAGAAATGTCATTTATTTTGCCGTTGTGCTTCTTCAATGTGACACGTAAACTCCACTGCCCCAGCAGGTATTGTGAGGTGGAAATTCAAAAATGTATTGCAAGTTTATTTGCAAAGCACATAGAAAGCACAAAGAAAACACTGTCATGTGTAGCCACAAGGGATACTTACACAACAGCTTCGCATTGAATTTGCCCTCATTTCCAAGATTCTCTTGCTTTAAAGACGCCATCTGTGACATACTAAAATGTAGCGTAAAACTGGATTTATACTTCTGTGTTAAGGGTAGAGCTGCAGCTAACAAATATTTTAGTTCATCAGCTGATTAATCGTTAAAGTCTATGAAAAATTAAAAAGCCATAACAAACAGCCTTCACCAACAGTCCAAAACCAAACAGTATTTCATTCATCATCAAATATGATTTTTTTTAAAAGCTGCAAATCCCCAAATTTGAGAGGTGTGAACCAGTAAATGTTATTTGCTTGAAAAATAACTGAAATAATTAATCATTTACCAAAATAAGTTTTCCTTTAATTGACTATTAGATTAATGGCCAATTGTTGCATGTCTAGTTAAAGGGTTACTGTGTGCCTGTGGCGTGTGTAATGGCAGATAAATTTGTATCAATTTAAAATCCTCAAATATCAAAATCAATGAAATTGTCGTAAAATTCCTGTATTGGTCGGACTCCAGAAAGAATGTGTAGTGCTGCAGTGGTGCCATCAACGGGTGAAATAAAACACTGCACCTGAAATTAAAACCCACGCCGTTTGTGTACTCTGCAGGACTCCAGTTAAACCTTTGCATAGTTTATAAGTCCAGGTTAACATTAGCATAAGCAGACAAAAGCCATAAAGTGAGCAAACACATTAACCTCATAGCATCTATGTAAAGTTTGCTAACATTAGCAAACATTTGCCACCTTAAGCGTTTTATTGTTTTTCTTTTGTGAGAGAGAGATTTAATAATATGTTATATTTCTTCTTTGAATAGTTATATTGTATTGTTTTAACTCAAAGAAAAAGGAAAAAGCACAAACACGTCATATAATCGTGTCACTTTGATACTTGTGAAGTTTCAGTTTTTATATGATGTCTATGGTGAAGGGAGATTGATAAAAAAGACATATTAATAAATATTATTACTGGTTGTTATTTTTATGTGCAACATGAAGCCGCCACTAAATGAACAGTATTTTACGAGAAGTAAGTGTCAAAAGACATGGCTTTGTTTGTTTTTTCATGTGCTTTTATGATGCTGAAAAATTACCAACAAGATCAAGAAATCATCTTTAATTTACGTGAGACCTTTTAGAGGATAACAGTGTTGTGACTGCAGTTTTTTTTTTTTTGCAATCAGTTTGCAGCGTGACCTAACTATGCGACATCATGTAAACATTGAGGTTTTCCATTTAACTAGCATTTGCACAACTTCAAACTTCACCTTGCCCTACCTTCAATTACCTCCCACTTCCTCTCTGCTGCCTGGAGCACATAATGCTGTTATTATCTTAGGGATAAAAGTATGATTTTAGACAGAATTCACTGTATGTTGTTCAGCATAATGAATTTCATTTGTCAAGGCAGTAGTTTAACTCTGTGAGCTCTTTTTTAATGGAATTTTAAAAAGCGGTGGCACCATTCAGGAGATGAACCTGCAGTAAATCCATCAGCGGATTCAGGCTATTCATGGAGAAAATTGGTGGAGGAAAAAAAAATCTAATTATACCAGTGTTTCTCATTAAATATGGATATTGCATCTTCGTGATGTTTGCCTCGTCAGATTTGCATAATTGTCTTTCTGCCTGGAAAGTGGTTAAAATTAGCATCTGCGGGAAGGTTTAGAAAGCTACTGACAGCATTTGAAGCGTCTGAAACAGGTTAGCTGAACCTCAGCCAAGCGAATGGATGTAGAGCAGTAATGTCTCTCTTTAATGTGTGGCTGAAGCTGTCTTCATAATAAGCCGCTCAGACTTCATTAACTCTCTGAGTGTGGCCAGACTGCTGAGAGAGGCTGGATGTCAGTCAGTTAGATGCACAAAACACACACAGGAGACATGATGTTGCCGTTTTCTGCAGCACACAGAGAGAACTGAAATTTGAAGATGTTCAGGTTTTCTCTGTTGCTGTCTTTGACAGTTTCTGGTCTTGTTAATCCCTGACTGCTATTTTTGTTTATCTTCTTCAACCTCCTTTTTTCTCCTCGTCCCATTATCATCATCCTCCTCTCAGTTTTCAACATCTGCTTTACGTCTGTTCTCATTTCTTCTCTCACTGCTGTCTAATCTGTCTCTCTGTATTTCTCTCTGTCTGCAGAAGCTTTATTTCAGGCTTCCCCTGTCTCCTGCTCTTCCTCTAATGTCGTTGAAAATCGTGCCCTGTGTTTTTCCCTGCTGTGTGTATAAGAGGAGCACGAGTGAAATGAGGATCTTTTCCTGGGAATTTTTCTATTTGGAGTTTATGCATCTGACTTTCTTGCTTTTTTGAGCATATCCGGATCAAACATCAGAGCATGTTACTTAAAAATTAAGAAAATTAAAATATGGATAGAAACCTGTATATTTCATTTTTAAAATATTGAAAACCAATGTAACTTAATGACATAAAATGCTTCTTTCTGTTCTCATTAAATAGTTTGTTGTATACTCAAGCACAGGTAGGTAATGAAATAATCTTTGTGATATGAAACTGGTTACCATCTAGGATTTTTTTGCTGTCATGATAAACCTTAAATATTGTTTTGTTTTTTTTACAGGCTGCATTTCAAATGCTATCATGATTTATTTTTCCTGAATCAATGAAATAAAAAACAAATCTCCCAAAAGCACCATTTGTACAAAATATTAAAATATGTGTTATGCTGCATTTTCACATGTTGAAAAGCATCTTCATGGGAAGAATACGGCAGAGACTCTTGAAGTAATCTGGTGTGCTATTTGTAAAAGTTGAAGGCTGTCTGAATAAAACCACACGTTGAATGCAACTCACTGTACCGTCGTCTCAACCTCTTCTCTTACTTTTTTTCTATGTCCAGGTGATGCAGCACCCCAGTGAGGGGGCCCAGGTCCTGGGGCTCCACAGCCAGCTGAAGGACGCCTCGGTGCCCGTCGCTGAGATGCGAGTCTACTCACTGTCCAGCCAGCCAATCGACCATGAGGGACCTAAAGCAAAGATGTCTGGTAAGCAGGGCTGCAACTAAGGATTATTTTCATCATCGATTAGTCTGTGGATCTTTTTCATGATTAATTAATTAGTTGTTTGGTCCATAAATGGTCAGAAAATGGTGAAAAATGTGAATCAGTGTTTCCGAAGCCTGAGGTGACGTCCTCAAATGTCTTGTTTTGTTCACAACCCAAATATATTCAGTTTATAGTCAGAGAGGATAAAAAGTAGTTGCTGATTAATTTAATTGTTGACAACTAATGGATTAATCGACTAATATTGCAGCTCTACTTAGCACAGCGTCTTACCACATCTGTCTGTGTTTGTCCTCCTCTTTCAATACGTCCCCTGTATTCTTCAAATGTCCTCTGTCTCTGCAGATCGCTCTCCAGACATCGACAACTACTCCGAAGAGGAGGAAGAGAGCTACTCATCAGAACAGGAGGGCAGCGACGACCCTGTTCATGGACAGGTGTGATTGTATAAGGGCTACAACAAATGATTATTATAGCAGTTGATTCATCTCATGGTTTATTAACTTTGTAAGAAGTGTAAACATTTCGCCATCACATTTCTCCTTTATTATCATACCTTTATTTAACCAGGAAAAAACTCATTAGCGATAAAAAATCAGCAGCACAATTAAAAAAAAAAAAAATATATATATATATATCTATATATATATATATATATATATATATATATATATATATATATATATATATATACATATATAACATTAACATAAAACATAACAATTTACAATCAGAATAAATAGCAAGTTATGGTAAAAATTTCTTAAATATTCACCACAATTCATCAACAACAAGGAACAAACAAAGTAATTAATCATAACATCTCCAGCCAGAAGTCACTTAAAAGTACTTTTAAATGCAACGAGTGAAACCGGCTCCCGGAGACTCAGGACATTTTGAAGCTGATTCCAAGCAAGCGATTGGAAAGATACGATACAGGGGTGAGGGAAGCTACTGTGGACTGGAGCAGTGAGACTAACAGAGCAAATCGGTCACGGCTGGTGTTCAGATTCAACTTTTAGGATAATTAGGAGTTCTTTTGTATTCAACGGAATATTAACGACATTTCAGGCTCTCTTTTATCACAAAATAAAGTGGGTCAGATCGGTCAGCCTGGTCGTCATGTTTCCTTCCCTGTTTGATGATCTCAGACCTCAGCAGTACTTGTGTTATGATTATCGATTGAAACAATGGCCAAAATTATGAAATTAATCACAAGGCTCGTGTTGTTCTATATTTTTCTATTGTCAGTAAATCTCACAAAAAGATAAAAATGCATTAGTCCATATCTCTATTTCTTCTTTCTGACTTTTTGTTCCGCTTAGCTGGGCACTGTGTTTTTATCAAACGTTACTCAACAAGAGTAAATAGTATATTGTTGGGGACTATTTTAAGCCGCAGATTAACACCCATGTCCACTAGTGCTTATCTACAGCACCCTGATAAAAAAAAAAAGAAATACAGTGCACATGTCACACAGTGCGACAGTGCAACAATGGAAGCTCACAGACTTTATACTTAATGTTAATGGGATCAATTCATTGTTGTTTTGGTCTTTTTAATGGGATTTGTTTACAATAAGAAACATACAGAATATCAACAGCCGTATCCTTTTAAAACCCACGTTGTAATAATCCAGAATTAACCTTATAACACTCTTTAAAACGCCTCTCACCTTCTCTCCCCCTCTTTTTCTCTCTTGCTTTCCTTCTTCTGCCACTTTTTCACTGCCTCCT